TACCCTCATCAATGGTGGCAATGTCATCACTGATCCTCTGCTTTCGATTAGTGATGTCCCTTACTTTTGTTCGATACACCATATCTTTAACATGACCCCATGCAAGTGTCCATAAAGTCACTTTATAATTTTAAAAATTTAGTACAAAGGCAATTGGTGAGATTTGTTCTACGTACTCGGTGGTTACCAAGGTTTTTATCACATTGCATTTCAGGTACTCTGTTGACGAATAAGGCACTGTTAAACGAACCCTTTACAAAATGGTACTCATATAGAGGTACATTCAATGAAGCAAGAGAAAACTTGAATATATACGTCTCATTTTGTAATAATTTCCACTTATCTATCTCTTCATTTGCCTTTGTAATAAATTTTTGAAATTGTAAAGAGACTTTATGAACACCCTGTGTATGCACGAACTTCTTTACGGATAGTTTATCCTCCTACAACGGCAAGAGAATCGATGCGGTTCGAACGGGGATTAAGCAAAGCGACGTAGAAACGGAAGAAAAGAAATATGTAGCAATGAGGTTCCTCTCGAACCTCGATACTTTGTACAAATTGGAGAAGATAAATATATCACGGTCGTGAAATTTGTTAAGGGTTAGAGTTTACAGGAGTTCAAGACTGAAGACACGTCGTTAGCTCGAAGGTTGCACGATACAATTGCAAAATTGCACGTTGCAATACTTATGATGATTATATATGGTGTTGTGTAGAAGTGAAGCGAGCGGCGGATGATTTCATCCCGCGAAAATTCGAATCCGAAAGTGTAGAGTGAAATTTGTTTATTTGAAGCTCCATTTCCGAGAAATTTGAATATATTTGAATACGTTTCGTGAAAAATTGGTGCTCGATAAACTTTCGAAACAATTTTATTCTACACCTTCGACCTGTTTGAGGTGAAATCATCCCCTGCTCTACTTCCTGTAGCTTCCTTTATATCTGTACACCTTTATATAACAATTATTGTACACAGCCACAATAACACGTTATATACATAATTATATATTAATAATTGTAATGACCATGTGTTTTAATATCATAACATTATACATACGTGATATTAATATTATATTTCGACAGTATTTCAGGTTGTCCACAATTATTTCTAATTGAATCCCGAAACGCTGGGCTGATAATCTAATTTGCAAAATGATTATGCCATAACGTGTATATTACGACTAAGAGGACACCGAAGTAGAATCTGTGTTTAGATAGTATAATAGGGTATAGTGTTTTTGATGTATTGGGCAATTCTGATCAAGTTTATAACATGCGCCAGTGTCACGTGTAATGGCGAACAGGGGGCAGATACTACTGCCGAAGAATTTCGAACTAAGTAACGATCGGTAGTATGCGAGTAACCACCGTTAAAGTAATAATGGCATATACTGTGGCATGTACATGCTCCGTTGTATACTCGGTTTATCGATCGAATTAATTTCGACAAAACGCGGACATCTAAACTCGATCATCGTTTAAACCAATTGGAATTTGAAATGAAATTTGACTCGTTCACGCAGCGGATATATGTATATGTTTTCCCTTTTCAAACTTTTCAATCGAAGATATCGTCAAGTGGTATCCAGATATTAATTTTAAGAATCGTTGAACCTCTATTCTGCCGCGTTAATTCAACTAAATCGAATAATATCACTGTGTGGTTTGACTTTTGAAAAGATTCTACTTTTAGTATTCGATTATCAGGCGTTAATTCTAATGTACGTTCGAGATGTAAACTGTCATTTTTAACTCTAGAACTACTAGGGAATTGAAGTATAAAAATTGCATGCAATTTTCGTGCAAGCAGAGAAATTACAGTGCATAGAGTAAGAAAAAGTTTAAGAAGGCAAACATTTCACAAAAATCGTTCAAATTTGTAAACATTGTAACATTGTAAATCTGCAAGATTACTCTACAAAATTATAAAATTGATTGTTTCGACCAGTTTTAATAATATACACAAATAAATTATACATATAAAATACGTTTATTTCTATGGTATACGCATAAATAAATTAAATGTATAATACATTTCTGTGCTACTTGGTTTAACCCATCCACATACGTAGACAGTTAATTTACGTCCTATGAAAAAGCTACCGTTACAAAAATAAACGTGCAACTTTTACTAAATTTGCTAAATCTCAATTGTTGTAACGCAGGCGAAAAATAAAATGAAATTGAATTAAATTTCTTTGTTACAACTGAAGATAAAAATTCGTCCGTGGTTAAGCGAAAGTTACAGACACGCCCTTTGGATTTAACACGGTAATATTCTCTTCATTCCACAAACATAGTGTCTCTCTCTCTCTCTCTTTTCCTCTCTTCTCGTACTTTTACACATTTCTTCCAAGAGAACGGAATAAAATTCCACCGGTAGTCTAATTAAGTCCATTAGAAGAACGATATATATATTTTCGGGAACGATTTGCGTCGCAGCGAGCCCGGAGAAAATATTCTCCGGGTAAATCCGAGGGACTGGGAACGACGACTCGGCTGGATCGTTAGCACAACGATACGGACGATTCTTTCCTACTTTGATACGAAAGTTCAATAGAATACGGCGTCGACGCCCTCGTTTCCCTCGAGCAAGCCATCCCGCAAATAATTTTCGTCTCTCTCCCCTTGTTCCTCCGCTTCCACCCCCTCGTCTATCTATTTCCTTCGTCGTACTTATTTCTTCGTCTAAATTTTTCTTCTTCTCTCTCTCTCTCTTTTTCTCTGTATTTACTCGAATTGGAGACCGATAGCTTTCGGCACTTTGTCGGATATCGCGGTGTCGAGGGTCGGAGACGTAAAACGCGACCCCTCGGCCGATATATTTGAATAATTCACGTTCAATCATATTTCTCGAAAAGCGGCGCTCGCCGCAAGGAAATCCGCATTTCACGAAACACCGGAAATACTCGCCGAGTATCAATGGGATCCCGCGTTTTCTTTCAGCGACGCTGAAATCGAACGGCGAGGTGTCGTTTATCCCACAAAATGTCCAACTTTCGTTCAGGAACGAAAAGCAAGGGCGCTAATAACACCACGAAGAACAAAAAAAAAAAAAATTCCTTTCACGTTTAAGATCGTTTTAAGGAGAATTCTGATTTCGTATTGTATATTCACTGTGGCTGAATTGACTCTGATTTTTTTTTTTAAATTTGATTTAAACCTTAAATTGTTTAAATTAGCTCCCGAACGATTCAAATCTGCTTTACTTGAAAAAAATAACAAGGTCTTGTTTTATTAGTGTCAGTTTAATTGGTGGCCTTATTTGAGTAAATATACGATTATATAATACACTTTTCACCGCGAAAATGAGTACTTTGCGAAAACAGTGTGTAAATAATCCTGATGTTTCCTGTTATATGTATTTGTGGCAAACACAATGTAATCTAATCTAATATAATATATAATATAATCTGGGCCTACTGAAAATGTGTTTTTAAATGTGTTTTGATTTGGAGACTTTGAAGTCCTCTTGACAATTAATGAAATTTAAAAAGGGGTCGTGAATTTTTCGAATAACAGAAAATCAAAAATTGAAAAGCGTAAAGAGGAAACATTTAAAAACAGAAATTTCCCACAATTGCTTATGAACAAAAATAAAACAAAAACACGGAGTTGAAAGCATTGAGAGGAGGGAGGAGAAAAAAAACAAGAGCAAAGCAATCTCATTATAATTGTATAATATAAAAGAATTTAAACACAAACCACTAACATAATTAAAATAATGAATTCTTTTTAAAACGGGAGAGCTACGCTAGTAATTATGGAAAATTATATGGTTACGTTTTTTTAAATATCGATTTTTATATCATTTATACACTTATTTTTACATTTTATGAATATTCAGCATCATAAGCATTTACTCGAAAATTTTTCTAGAGTCATTTCAATCCCGAACGAGATCTCGATCATAGATCGTAGGTGAAATTCATTTCGCCAGACATTTCGCGGATAGAAAGGGCGGCTACATGTTTCGACAGTCGCGCTCAGTAGCTCATACTCGCGAGTTTGAATGAGAAATGAATTCTAATTATGATAAAATTTCACTCGTAGACACTCTTGAATCCGCAAGCACGGATTTGTGCCTATGTGGGCCAAACGAGCGGAACACACGCGAGCTGCATACACGTTGCATAAGAGATAGAGTTTTAATTCGTTCGCAGTGATGCATAGAACAACGCGCGGTGTGTCATTGGACCGTGTTATCGGGACGCGGAATAAACGCGGCCCGGCTTCATACGTTATTCATTGCGACTTCCACTTTGTAAATTGTTTTTCGCTGACTGTGAAACTTCCGCGAGTAACGGCAGCTACGTTAAAACAGCCAACAACGAAGGAGAGACGAGTTCCGGTATCTGTAGCGAGCAGCAAAATTCCACCAGTGGCAATGAAAAATTGTACGATAATTTAAAGTGACTCGCGAAGTCTCCGCATTGACACGTTTCTTCGAAGCGTGTAGAGATGTAAGGATACATTTTTTTTATAAATAAATCTACCACGACACTGAAGATTAACATTTTTGTAAAACTCGCTGCGCAATTCTTTCGTACCATCCTCTCGTACGAGCTTTGAAGAAATTTGAAACTTTTGTCACTTAATTCCTGATATTCAACTTTAAAGGGGAGGCCTCAGTCTTCGAAATGATAGCGGATCTAATTGAAAAGAGAAACATTTTTCAACGTTTCTGAAAAGAGAAAGGCAGCCTCTCGAGAAGAAACAAATTCAAGCCCGTCAGAGTAGAAGTTCTCGCGCGTTTAAAACGAAGGCGAAGCGAGATCGTGATCGGCATTTTACGAAGTTTAAAATCAGTTTAAATTATCGACAATTCTTCATTATTATAACCATCTCGGTTACGCTCTTCGCCGGGCACGCTCGAGGGGAATTAAAAGGCATTGAAATTCCGCTTTAGCTGCAGTTTAGACTTCCTCTAATAAAACTACCAACGATCAATGATTAAGATTCTAGAAAAAAAAAAAAGAAAAAAAAGGGAGAGAACTTGCCTGCATAAAGTCTCCGAAGAATCTACGCAGCCACCTGAAACAAACCAAGAAGAAAGCTAGATTAGAAGATGGTTAATATTCTACAAGGACGAACAAACAAAAAAAGAAAAAAAAAAAAAGCTACCAGGAAGATCTGGATGAATTTCGAACGATCTTTGAACAACGCGGTGGACAAGCTGCCTCGAGGTTTGTCATGTAAATTGTAATCCCGGCAACGGAGAGGGGGGGGGGGGAGAAAATTGAAAGGCAATCCCACCGGCGGGAATCCATCCTCCTTCTGTCTTACCTATTATCATCGAAAGCGGATTCAGGCGGTTCGGCAACTTTCAACGGAGAGGGGGGAGGGGAATTTATTATAATCGCATTCAAGAGCGTCTTATGGCAACGACTGCAAAGTAGCTGTTCCACGTGAAGGTGCGGAGTAGAGAGGAGAACGAAAGAGAGAGAGAGAGAGAGAGAGAGGGGAGCGGGAAGGAGGAAGCTGATTGAAACTCGGAAACATTTGCTCCGTTGGGTAACTTAGCAGCCAATCGTCGCAGATAAGTCGCTCTCCCCTAGTTAACGGTTTTCCTTAATTAACCGTCTGCCGTCTCCGCGGTTTCTGCGTTCCTCGCGAGAGAAAGACGATGACCAGAACGGAGAGGATGATATCGAGATAACTTTTACTCACCGCGAAAGCACTGCCACGCTACCCTCTTCTCCTTTTAAACAGTTAGCCACTATTAATTCGCCATTATCGCGGCAGTGTAGCAACAAACCGAGGCGAGGACCCGCGAGTTAATAGCTTCTCTCTCTCTCTGGTGCGCGCGCGCCGCCGCCGCTTAATTGCCAGGCTAGATAACACTCGAATCCCGCGCGATTCGTTCGCCATCGAGATAAATGCCGAGGTTACGTAATTAAGATCGGCACGATCGCCGCCACCGATGTTATTCCAACAGATACGACGGTACTTGCCGCGGAGACCGAGTATAACTCGCGATATCGTCGAGGTTTTCTTATAAACGGTGTCGCGGGTATCGTTTGCAACTCGAGGTACTATCGAAGTTTTCGCTACTTTCTCTCTCTCTCTCTCTCTCTCTCTCTCTCTCTCTCTCTCTCTCTCTCTCTTTCTTTCTCGTTCTCGTTTTCGTTCTCGTTCTGGTAGGCGAAATTGCTCGGCCAACGAGCAACTTTTACTTACACTCGCTGCAAACGATCTTAGGGAGGATTGAGGGAGGAAAGAGAGAATCGATTGGGAGAGCCCGCGGACTGCGGTTTGCTCGGTACGAGTAAATCGTTTAATCAAATCGGACGCTATCTTTCTTTATATAGTTATTGCTACTCGGCGTCCCGAGTAATCCCGACTCGCGAAAGTTGATCGACGTTCGCCCTCATTTTTTTTTCATCCAGCGGGTTTTTAATCCAGATCTGAACACGCGGAATTCCTCCAATTCTCTTCGAGTTCTCTGTATTCTTTTAACATTAAACTTTCTATATATCTTTCTACCAAGGGGAATACAGGTATTTGTCACAGGAAATAAAAATAAAATAGGAAAGAAATTATATAAAATTAAATAGAAAAATAAATAGATAAATTATTAAATTATTAATAAATTATTAAATAATATAGAAAAAGTTACATTTTCCACTTTCTTTTTTAAACAGGAGTTAAAATAAAATAGAATGCAGAGTTTTTAAATTGAATTTTTAAACCGTTTAGTGTTAAACGCCAGCCAACAAGTACTTTGACTCATTCCTACATCCATGTAGAATGTAGATCGTTGAATGTGAAGCATTGAGATGTCACGAAGATTAATTTCTCCTCGGTATTTATCCAATTGATCTCCGTATTTCAATTTTAATTTTATTTGTATTTATTTGCGCTTTATTATATTTTCATTTCTTGTTTATCTCGTGTCTTTTATTATTGTCTTGAAAGGATTCTTCTCGTCGAATTAATAGGCAAATAGATTTAATTATCGAGTGGATCTTTTTTCCATCGTTATATCGCAGAATTGCACGATATATATATATATATATACACAGAGTGATTCACGTGACTTGCACACCTGAAATAACTTTTCATTAACACTTATTTACGCAGTTTTTATCTTCAAAACAAATTACACATTATAAATATGAATTATTTATTATTATAAATACCCTTAATCAGTAAGTTTAAGATTAATGTCGCGTGGAATTTAATATTTTTTCGATTTATTACGAAAAAAAAATATATGGTCCAATTGAAAAAAAAAGTTTCAGAACTCCTCAATACACACAAAACAATTTGCCATATTTTGCCTACTTTAAAACCATACAACTTTCGTGTTAAACAATTTATCATTAGGCGTAATTTAAAAGTTACCTCAAGTGTGCTCGTTACGTGAATCACCCTGTACATATATTAATATATAATATATGATATATTATTGATGTATCAATAAACTAGCATGGTTCAGATTCGTCAAAGGATCGCAAGATGTGTTATGTTTGAATCCGGTAACGTAGTGATGTTTGAACTTGAACGTGCTCCTTGTTTGCCGACGAGTAAATCTCACTGGCTTCGCGCTCCATTTCCATTTGTCATGCTCAATAGGTTACACCTACGAATCATTCAGAATGGAAATTGAATTATTCTGTGGATTTCATACGAGGAAGGAAGTCAAATGAAAGACTTCTTGTCACTTCTGTCATCCCTGTAGAAAATTTCGATCGCCACCGCATGAAAGATGTACAGATTGCCACTTTCGTTGCCACTTTTTTTGTTGCTTTTTTCGTTGTGACCCCGGACACGCGACTCCAGAATAGTAAAGTCGCTGTTAAATGATGAAGAAACTTTTTTGCCACTTTCCAAGAGAACTATCAAGTCGCAAAAGTTTTATCCCCGCGATGAATAGAATGCAATGCAAAAAAAAAGAGAGAGAGAAAAAGTTTTGACATTGAAATTCGAGGTCAAGATCAATTATGCGGCAGGTAATATGTTTCAATTAAAATCGTCAACTGTCGAATGCTGCATTTTTTATTTCATAATAATTCCGTCCAGTTAGCTGCGATGTTCAAAATTTCTCAGTCGACGATATTCGTTTCGTTTTGCTTATTCAAAACATTTGAAGGTCACTGATGACCACCATGGCCCGATCTATGGTCACAGATGACCAACGTGTTTCCCTCTTGGAATTTCGAGCCTTCTAATATTTTATTCCTATATCTTTGATGGGAAATAAAACGAAACAAAGACAATCCGAATAATATAAACTACAGATATTCATAGCGAAATAAACATGAAATTGATGAAAATGTATGAGCAAAATATGGAACTGTCATTACATCAAAGAAAAAAAAATCACTTTGACTCTCTTAAAAAATGTTTTAGAGAAATTCATAGTTGAAATTGTCAAAGATCAGAAGTGGCACGCGAATTATGCGATAAGTTATTATAATTGCAGGCCGGTTTATTTCGTTCGTTATGTTAATACTGCTGTTGCGGTTACCAGGCCAAATAATGGCCGAGAGCGGAGTTCGTGGATAGTTGGCCATTTTAGCTGTAACTGTGGCTAATGTAGCTTAACTTTGGTAATCAGATGAGAACGGTGCTTTTTGCGTCGCAGCTGCAGTTGATACTGCAATTGGGGTTAAACACGTGCGCGTGCTAATTGTTAAAAATTATTACCCCCTTTATTATAAATAGCTTCAAATCACTTCCGTTATTGCGCTTCTCCTATTACACATACTGCCGCTACGGATTTAAAAGAAAAGATATTACTTGAAAAAGTAATTGTTACAAATTCGTATCATCATGGTTACGATACAACTGAGCATCTGGACGATGTTTTTTGTGATGTTAAATTAGATTGCGCCGCGAGAACAATGTACGGCGTACCAATCTACTTTTAATTGTCAATAAAATATTTGTGCAATATTGTGTTTGGCGAGCCAAATACAATTTCAATACTCGAAAGGAAACATTTGATAAAAAGCGGAAAAATAACGAATTTTTATGTTCCATTTGTCAAAAAGGACAATCGCCCGTAATACATCAAACGCATATTACTTTGCATTTCGTTGTTCGCGAAATTGTTGACTCGAACGACCGAAATGACAGAAACAGAGAGGATAAAAGAAAAAAAAAAAAAAAAGATCTAGATATTCTTCAGGAAATTGCACTGGAAGGATGCATTGGAAATGCACACAGTGATTATTATGCATCGTGAAGAACGTGCTTGTCACGTAAGTAGATCTAACAATTACCCGAACACGGCGAAATTACACGTGTGCATAGTAGAATTAATTGAAGCAGCCAGAGAGTGAGGCGTTCCTCGGTCGCAGCCATGCACTTCCGGGTATCTAGAAAGGGTCGCGCGAGAGAGAACGAGGATCGACGTCGATCCATCCGCGTTCCCCGTGCGTGGAGAAAGTCATTAACTGATTAAACGAACACGTGTACGTACAACGGTCGATTTCTTTTTTTTCCCTTTCTTTTTCCTTTTTTCTTTTTTCCTCCTTCGACGCGATATCGGCCGGCTGAATATTCAAAGCCGGCGTCACGCCTCTTCCGTGATTTGATTAATTACATCGACCTACTCGGGCCTACGACGACGTTGGAATTCTTTTCTTTTCCTTCGAGGAAACGACGACGTCGAGGAGCCCTGTTTCCATACGTTTGTTGACCATGTTCCTGGAAAACCGTGCCAAGGAAAGGCGAAAATGCAAACGCGGACTAGCAAAAAGCTAGAGGGGACTGTGTTAAAATTCCGAGGGTATTCGAATCTGTAAATAGTCGAGAAATTGTGAAATCTATCTAATAGGAGAGATTCGAATATGTTAATCAGAAAATTCATTATTCACTAAAATTTTAGTACAAGACACTTGATATTGAAAAGAAGGTCAATCAATTCAGTACAGGATATTGAAACGAAGCGCAATTAACAAATTATTTTTTTATAGTTTAATAAAATATATTTAATTATATATTTGAAATATAAATATATTTATAGTTAAAATATTATTAACTATAAAATATAGTCTAATAAAATATATTTAATTATATATTTG